GGGGGGGGGGGGGGGCAATGAGAAACGTACCTCATTATGACAAGCCGATGCCGATGTGTCTCCGCGCACGGTGGCGTTTGCCGCGGCTTGATTTACTCGCGACGGGGGCGATTTGCCCCGGCTCTCGCAGCTGGAGGCGATAAATTCGCGGATCCGTGTCTAAGCCGGGGGTTCGCGCGCCCTGTGACGCGCGAGAGTCGTAACGCCAAGTGCGGAATAAAAGCAAGCCGCGCGTGCTGCATCGCTCGCAAAACGTTCGCGTCGTGTTCTCGGGAACACGTCCGAGAACTACGGCCCGTAGACTCGGAGACGCGTAAAGCGGTATATCCCGCGAGCGAGCAAGCGAGCGATCGTAAAACGTCGATATGCCGCCCTCGACGCCATTGTCGAACAATGACGGAGCTGCTGGGCGACCGGCTTCGAATCTCCCGCGCGCGCGCCGGCGTCGATAAATTCGCGGAGGGCACGGAGTCGGCACGTCGCGCGGTTCGCGCGTGCTTTACGAGCTCCCGACGACCTGTCCCGCTCGTAAAGACTAACGTCGTCGCGATGAAAATTAACGAGGAACCCCCAAAAGCGATCTCGCGATAAGGCGTGCCCGAGACTCGAACACCGATGATAAGATAAATGAGAAGTCACTATGACTAGTGATGGTTCACATCGTGATAAGGTAAGGTTCTCTTGTCGGGAGAACGTCGAAACTCGTCGCAGGAAGATCGCGAGGGAAAATTTCCGTCGGAAAGAGATTCGATCTAACCGTGAAAATCGAACATAGCGTTCGGTATGTACTAAACGACGAACGCGCTACAACGCGATGCCAACGAGTGTCGTTATTGCGGGATTTCGCGTCGTGTTTTCTACGAAGTACGGTCAAAAATATGCGCTTACGTTAATGCACACGTGTTTGGTGAACGATAGTCGCGATGAGACGCACCCGGCTGCTCCTTTTTCTCGCACAAAGTCGGATTGTAAACTCGACATTCTCGAAGTGACGCGCACCGATCGGAGTTCGTAACCGTTGGTACGCGAAACCGTCACCGCGGCGCTACCTACAAGTAGTAAAGAGAGACGGAGGAAGAGGGAAGAGGATAAGTAGAGAGAAAAGTGATCGAGGAATGTCGTCCTGAGAGCGAAAGTAAAGCACGCGAAATATCTATTCGAGCAACACGAGTGTCTGAGAAATGTTTTAAAGAGTATAAATTTGTATTTACAGAGAAGCGGAAGATTGATTCGATCAATTAGATTCGTTAGAAAAATTCGACTAACAAACTAGCTGGCGCCATCCAACGATTACGGGAAAAGACTCGTTTAACGGGAGCAAGCCTCGGATAAGTAGAGTTCGAATCTTAGCTAAATGACCCGTTACGGTTAATTTTGGCTCGTTATAGTTAGACCCGTAAGTCCGGATTTACAATAGGCGTAGTAAGTTTTGAGTCGTAAGAAGTTGACCAATCAGTCGAATTTGAGAAGAATAGTCGATCACGATTGGTCAACTTCTTACGGCTTAAAGCTTACTACACCTATTGTAAATCTGGACTAATCGAATCAAGAGATGTCAGAAAACCTTCAAGTGCATGAGGTGTAGTATGGTGCACGTAAGAAGAACAGGTGTAGTATTCCCAAAAAAGAAAAGAGGACCGTACGATAAGTTGAAATATAAACAATTGTAGCGTAGATATCGTGAAAATTTAGAACAAAATGGATCCAGCTTTGCTTAGAGAGCGGGAACTGTTCAAGAAACGTGCCCTAAGCACGCCAGCGTGAGTATTTATATTGTTGTTACCTTAAGTAAAATCAAACAGAGGTTATGTTTTTCAAAAAATACTTATTCTGTTCAAAGATATTATTTATAAAATTAGTAATTATAAGATATATATAAATATGAAGAAATTTATCAAATATATATAATAATATCAAATATTATATCAAATTTGAGAAAATTCTAATGATGGAGAAATTTATAAAGCTTAATTTCTAAAGTTGCTACGTATCAAATAATATAAGTATATTACTATTCGTATCAAATAATATAAGTATATTACTATTCGTGACTACAGAGTTGAGAAAAAGAAAAAGGAACAAGAGACCTCGAGAGATGATTCGTTTAAGAAGAAACCTAAACCATCATCCATATCTTCGGGACCAAAATTGGACATGGTCAATTACAAGACCATGGCTGGCAGTACACAATACAAATTTGGTGTATTAGCTAAGATAGTGAAGCACATGAAAGCGAGGCATCAGGAAGGAGATGATCATCCCTTAACTCTGGATGAAATTTTAGATGAAACGAATCAATTAGATGTCGGATCAAAAGTAAGTATCTATTACCTGATCATCTCCTATTGACTAAGACAAATGATTTATATGCATTTATGTTACATTTTTATGTGCGTTTAGGTCAAACAATGGCTTCAAACGGAATCTTTGATAAAGAATCCCAAGATTGAGGTAACAGCTGATGGCAGATTTGTCTTTAAAGCTATGTATAAAATAAAGGATAAGAAATCACTGCTGAGACTTCTCAAACAGCACGATTTGAAAGGTCTTGGGGGCATTTTGTTGGAAGATATACAGGAAAGTTTACCACACTGTGAGAAACACTTAAAAGTAAGTAAAAACTCTCTAGAACTTTGGCGGTAATTTACATGAAAAACCTAATGTTAATTACATATTTTAGAGTTTACAAAATGAAATATTATTTATTACACGACCACTCGATAAGAAGAAAATAGTTTTCTATAACGACAAGACGGCGCAATTTCCTATTGATGAGGAATTCCAAAAGTTATGGAGAGCTGTTGCGGTAGATGCCATGGATGATCAGAAAATAGATGAGTATCTTGAGAAACAAGGTATCAGATCTATGCAAGATCACGGGCTGAAGAAGCCAGCGCCGCTCAAACGAAAGAAACCCGTTAATAGGCGGAAACAGTTTAAGAAACCGAGAGACAATGAACATTTGGCAGATGTCTTAGAGACGTACGATAATTAAAACGTTAGAATAATAATAATGCATATGAATGGTATAACGAAGAGTGTAAATACAACAGTTTTGTAAGTATGATACAATCATGTGATTCATTTTGTACTATACCGTGGAATAATTAGCAATCGTTCATTTCTCCATCATTTAATAAATAAGTATTAAATTTATTGCCATAATTTATTGTCACGATATCTCATTGTATAAGTACAAAATAAATATAGAATAATTGTAGTATGTTATAACACTTATACGTAAACTATTCATATATAAGTCACGCTCACAGTCAGCCTTTTGAATTCAAAAAATAACACAACGCTTATTTTTTATTTGGCGATGTGATAATTGTGGGCAAGTTAGAATCAGAGCTGGCCATTTGTCGCTGATTTTCTTTAGTACACCTCAGAACCCTAGCTTTAGCGAAGATCTAGATAGTCTCGTCATTTTGCGAAAAGATTATATTATAAAAATTTGTACACTATGCTATGTGATAATCTCGTTACTGTACAAATACAAATTTATATTTTCTTTGGTATTTGTAGAGAGCTTCGTGTTCATCGTTATTGATCGGACAGGTATATCGTCCTGAATTGTGTGAGTCGTACGAATAATGTGAATTATAATTATCCGAGTCGTCCTAATCACTTTTTTAAAGATGCGATATATTATCGTTTTCTAATTAAGATGCGTTCTCTTTTTATATTGATGATATTGATTTCAAACATTTCGAACGGCAACATCTACTCCTTCGGCAGAGCGGAATCGCTTTTCCCGCGCGAATAAGCACGCGTCTTGTTACTGCCGAGCATTCTGTCCAACAAAGATTGCTTGTTTCTTCTTCTGGCCGCGAGAACTTCTCTGCATAATTCGTGGAAGGATTCCGCGACTTGAGCCACCTATAACAATGGGAGCTATTTGAAGGCAGCCCAGCGCAAGTATTAAGCGCGAACTATTAAGCAGAGTTTTAATTACCTGCTCGGCAGCAGTTATTTCGCTAAACCAACATTCGAAATCCTTCGCCAAAATCTCTCCTTCTTCGGCGCTGACTTGCCGTAGATGAACCATGTCGGCTTTGTTCCCAACGAGAGCGAGAGGCATCGCGGCTTCCGGATCGGCTACCGCGAGGGCTTCCTTCGCTTTCCTCACGAAATTAAAGGACCCTCTGTCTGTTATCGAATAAACCAGCAACAAGCCGTCCGCCCACTGCAAAGTTTCCATCGACGGCAGCTCAACCTCGCTCTGAAAATTGTTTAAGTTACATGCGTGCAAGAACATCCCTGATGGCAATATTTGGCCGAAAATATAATTAAATTTTACTGAAATGTAGTTGAAATTCTCTCTCAATTTACCCAATTTTCATTATTATTTTATCAATATTTCAATAAAGATTCAGTTTTCAATTAAATTCAGTAAATTTCATATCTAATATTTCACAGTATTACGTTAAAAATGTCATAAGGGAAATTATGATTTCTTTTGAAATATATTTGAAATGTATTTTGTAATTTTTCAAAAACTTTCATTTCACTTTTCGTCGATTTCATAGTGCTTTCAGCAAAATACCTTCATCAGGGATGTCAATTTAATGCGAGAGATCTTTCACGTAAAATTTTACCTTCGGGCACGTGTCTAAAATTTCGAAAAGAATAGGCTCCCCGTCGACAAGTACTTCATGTTTGTATCTGGTTTCTAGAAGAAAAACGAGATTCGCTTTGAACATAGATGTATAGTAACAGTTATTCGTAAAATATATTTAAATCTGATATTTGAGGCCCTCGCAATGTGGAAAACAGCTCGGTTTGGCTTTCCCGAAGAAAAAAGAATACGGCACAAGCCTGGAAGTCAAGCCGAGACATGTACGAGGTTCTACGCGAAGATAAGACCGTTGTCTTCGATCTTCGATCGATTAAAACCACCAGCGCTTCGTTTTCTTCGCGGCAACGCGATTTTTTCATAAATCCGCTTCGAACAGTTCTTCTAGAGGAAGAACCTAACGCAAGGACGAAATTCGTGTATCGTCAAACATGCCTTTGGGTCGGATTTAGTTTGGAGCCCCAAAGCGGCACGTGCTTCTTCTTCTTCTGTCTACGACCGCGTCTGTATTTGTACAAAACGAGAAGCTCCGAGTTCGAGTATCAACCTCGCATTAGTACCCGTCCTGTCTAGTGTCAAATTCGTCTTCGATAAATTTAGACCAGACGCGGACTGAGGTATGCGCAGGGAGAATATACGCGACTTTAGAAGCGGATTACAGTTGCTGGCAGTTTTTCAGACCGGCGCGTCATTCCGTTGTACGTTTTATCGCACGCGTTCCGTAAGTCACGCGTGTGATCGATAAATGCGGCGTTACGCCACGGCGGTCGATCGAAAAATTTCGCCGCCCCACCTGTCGATCCCCGATAATCCCGAGTTCCCTCGGCGGCCCTGGCTCGGCGGAGAGGGAGATTTTTGGCAAGTGAAGGACATTTTCCTCTCTATTACGGGAAGACGAAAGAAGATACGTCCGCTTTCCGGAGGAGGAGGACGTTGAAAAAGTTCGCCGCGCGCTTTCGAGAAGAAGCTTCGCGGAACGCTGCGAGATGCGTATAGACTGTGAAAGGAGGCGGAAAGTGGAGGAGAAAAGTGTTCCCGGTACACTGCGGGAGTATCAGATCCGGAATGACAGATGCAGTTTTGAAACTTCTCGATCAGCCCCGGCCAGCCGGCATCGGGGATTTTTCTCACCTGATTGGTGATCGTACTCCCCGATATACCTCCTCGTCAGGAATCTCACCGTCAATGCTGAAACATAATAACGTTTCATTTGTGTAATCGATGCGGTCGCGCGATGTAATTACGTTACACGCGATATAATTGAATTGGCAAACAGCGGCTGCTGGTACTCAGACCAGTCGCGCAACGCTCGCGTCTCGCGTAATATCGCGGTGTTCTACATTTCGCCTGTTTGTTACAGTTCCCGTCCACTTATGCCAGAGGAAACCGACACGAAAATACTGTCTTTCGGTCGCGATTATTGCGCAACCGACCGCAGCCAGTACTTGATCGCGTTTCAGGAAAGAAACCCAACTAACCAGAAGTTAATAATAACGATTGACTTTTTTTGCGTTCATTACACCGGGGAAGAAAGTGATAGAATCGACGAAATTTTGCTTGAACGAGCATTTCTTTTCAAGCACAACGTTTAGTCACGAAATCAATGGTGCAGTTGCTATGATAAGTTATCAATTGATTTAATGATTTCCATCTTCTCAAGCAACTATATCGTATTGCTGCGTTAACTGCATGATTTGTTCAACTGATACAATATCTTTTTGAACGAGGGTGATCGCCGATTTTATCGATTCAACCGCAATTCTTCCCAGTGTACACATCTAATTTTACAAACGTTATTATATACGAGCGTTTCTTAATTAACGTCCACAATTCACGCAGCATTATACTTCATGAACAATTGAATCGAAAAGTCTTGAGCTATTTTATCGAAAGAGGTCATTATTTATGGCGACTTTCAACATAACATATCTTTATAACTACAGTTAAACCTTAAATTAAAATTCTATTAAAGCAAGATCTACTTGAAATTAATCGTAGAAAATAGATTTGTTATCCATATTTCGTCCGAGGCATAGCTTGCGAACAGCCTTTCCAATCGCTTATATCTCGTAAACTACCGACGTCTCGACATTTTCGCTCGGTATTTTTCGGCTCAAATTTTCACGAGGAACAACGCTGTATGTAATTAGTGAACGTTAATTAAGAAACTGTATAATATATTTATCTCATGCCTTTTTCAACCTTGACAAGAGTTTTATCATTTCATTACAATAAATAAAATACGTGTAAAAATTTCCTTCTTTTCCCAGTAAGAAAGAAATGATTAACACAACGTTATTGCAATGATATTTTATAACACGCAACGTTTCCAAATATATATAGTTCTTAATGTTGTATACAACGTCATTGTTAACAATATTCAACCCAAAAATTAAAAATAACACTTCTACACTATGACAACTTTACAAGTAACAATTCAGAAATATTCATAAAATGTTATGTTAAAATGTTTCTAAGATTCACATGAGATCAATGTTTCAAAAAATTATGTTTTAATGTTTCTTGCTTTCTGAATTGTTAATAATAACATGTAAAGACACGTGACTATACATAAGAAAATCTTTAGCCTAAACATATCACATTATTAAATATATTTGTACATGCAGCGAATAAGCGGATTTCCAGCTTGAAGGACTGAGGAGCGAAGCGAGACTTTCGCTCTCCGATGCTTAATAATCTCTTCGTCCACCGGACCACCGAAACAATGTCCATCCTGATAATCCCGACATCTCACGCGCATAAGTGATGAAGAGAGATTGATCTCTCGCCGATACGCGGTCACGCGCGCCGATATGATACCATGCCTGGACATATTGCGATTCGATCGGGAGAAACGAGAGCTACAACCTAGTGACCCGCTTCGAGGTGTACCACACTATTTTTACCACGAACTCGAACCTGCTGCGGCGCCACAAAACCTTGCACGAGCGCTGCGCGTTAACGCCGTCGTGACTTATTTCATCCCGAAACGCATTCTTGCACACGCTTTCTTTTCGTGCGCGAGTTACAGCTGTTTATAACGATGCGGGAGATAACAGAGGAATTTAGACTTTTTCACATCGCGAAGCCAACGTTCCCCGGTTGATGTTACATTGCAACGCAGACTTGTCTGTAATAAATTCGACTCGTGGCGGTTCTGACGACCCGTCGGCAGAAAGGAAAGAAAGAGAAAGAGAGAGGGAGTGGGTAACTTTCTAGTCGTTTTGTTTTGCAAACGTTGAATACGACGCGATAAATTTACCAGCACGATTTCGCAAAAATCAATAGACGAATATCTCCCTTTTCTCTCTTCTCTCTTTTCGTGTTCGCGAACGAAATCGACGTACCGAGATTCCGCGGATGCGAAGACGTCAGAGCGCACTGTATCTGTACATCTGAAATATATATTGTCTATAATATAAGTCGGTTTTGATCGACAGTGGCGCGTGCATGTTTCGAAGCCAGAAAATTTATTAGCGATTGGTTTATTTGCGTTGGAATTTGTGGAGCGGGATCATTCGGATGCCACTACGTTCCCTCCTCGGTTCAATCTCAATGTCGGTGAAAGAGTTTGCAGTTCTGTTCCGAATTTTCTCGCGCATTTTTCGCGAAGAAATCTAGCTTAACGATACATCGAAGTGCTCCGCTCTTTTCGAAGAGCGAAACTCACAAACTCACGATAACAGCACATCGCCGACTGTCCCAACGAAGCGCAATAGTCCGAAGGACGATTAAAAGCTCCTCGAAAAGCCCCGGTGAAACCGGAAACACCTTCGGAAAATCTTTTGAGCTCTTTCGATCGAGCAGGATCCGTTCAGTGTAAAATTCGCTATTTCTACTTCTTCGTCTCGATTCTATACTTCTATAAAGAAGAACGCGGGAGAAGAGAAATGTTTCCGATACATCTTGACGACGGTTTCTCGGACGTTCGTATCGCAACGATAAAGACGCGAGAAAGATATTTCTTTCCGGCGAATGAAATTACGAGCGCGAAGAGACATCGCGGTAAGCATGACGAATCGCCGGCTCCGATGATGGCCCAAGACGCATTTTGAGGTAAAACTTTATTAATAGCAGCCACGCGTTCTTCCCGGCCGAAGAAGAGGCGGTGCAAGCTTCACCGGGGGACTCAGCAATTATTTACTCACCTATGCCTTTACACTTGCCATTACCGAAAATACACGGCGGTTGGCCGCACTCAGGCTCTCCTTGCCTCGCATATCTCATACATGCATCTCCATCGGACGGACCTTCAACAGCCTCTCGCGCGCACTTGCACTTGAATTTAGAGCGCGTTGACATTTAGCCCGCGAACTACTTTTTTTCTCGAAATACGCGCGCACCTCCCGCTGCTCTTCCGTCCTCCTCCGGCCGCTCCTCTTCGCGGCGAAACGCTCGTGCGGGCGACAAGTCCGGCACTTTGCATGCGGTACGACCGAGAACAGCGGTCCACCAAACGAATTTGTTCTTAATTGCGCGCCAAGGTCTCCCGATTTATGCCAGGCTCGCAAATGTCCGAGACTGCGGCCTTTACGATCGTCACGATCGTCCGGTATTTTCCGCCATCCTCTATTCAGTTTGCACGCACTGAGAATGAAACGGTTGAATTGACGAATCACCCTCGGTCGGAAAATTATTACTAGAGAAATGACGTTATGTTGGTGCAACAATATGTTGCCTCGTTACTGGCCAAATCGCAGTCGCGTTGAATCAGCTGATAACTCATCACAGCAATTATATCATTTGTTCAGTGGACTAAGCGTGCTTAGAGGAATTTTGTTCGTTTAAATATAAAGTTTCGTTGATTCTTGACCGCTTTTTTCTCAGTGCGTTAGCACGGCTAAAGTGAAGCGTAGTGGCATACGCGATGATATTGTTCGAAGCATGCCGTTAAAATATTTTGATTGGCATAATCAAATTATTTTTCGATCCGTGCCGAGAAATGGCGCTATTGATATTGGGGGGAATCATCAGTAAAGTTATCGTACGCACGGAGAAAACGAATTTCGCTGGAACAGCAAATTTTTCGTTAATATAGTGACAACAAACAGATTTGTTTGGACAGCTGAAAGATTTTAAATTAAGAGTATTCATTGCTATATGCTGGATATATCGACAGCAAGATAGTTTGGTCATGCCAACTCAATTTTATCGCTGTCAACGTTTTGCTACAATAACAAAATTATTTTATCCGTGTAATAAATTTTTTTACTGTCACTATATTATAACAAATAATTTGCTGTTTCAGCAAAACTTTTTTCTCCGTATAATTATCCAAATGCGTTTCATTATAATTAAGTCGTGGAATAGAAAATCGTAAAATGCAGAACAAAGTTTCTTTTTACGTTAAAGAACTCGGCGATCCCCTCGTTAACTTTGTAATTATCGTTATTGCTTTTTCCCTACATACAATAGCCTGTCGCTGCTATAACTACATTTTACATTTTTATCTTTTATTTTTACTCTTTCTCGCGATATTTATTTTATAGAAACGAATATTTGTTTCGCTATAAAACGTTAATTCCGAAAAAGTGTATACTTTTATCACGTAATTTTTCCATTTTTTATCAAAATAAGTTAATACACAACACCAGGGGAAGATCAAACTTTCACTGTAAAAGTCTAATCCCATCGAAATACGTTCGCTCACCGCTTTTGCCAACTCCCGGCGCTCCTATCACAGCCACCTTGACTTCGCACAGCGAACTTTTCTTCCTCCTGATACCTCTAATTGCATTTGACGTCATACTATGAGTATTTGTCACTGTAAAAGAAAAGAAAGATTAGACAACACGATGTCATACGGAACGCCTCAGTGTCTAAAGAGAGTTTCCAAACGCAGATTTCATCCCATCCTGCCGTGTCGGAAGAAAGTTCTCGAAATTAGCGAATGTTATCGCGACAGATTGCGAATATTTTTCAAACTATATGTCATATACTTTTAAACATATCAGGTATTGCATTTAACATTACCTGCAATTAGTAATTTGATCATTCAGGCTAATAAATCATTATCGAATATGGCAATTATTGTGGCGCCGTGTCGCAAATTTATAAACCAATCATTCGCATGCTCTCCGCTTGTTGATCATCGCGGAACCGGCGGCCTATTAGCGTCTCGGATGATCGAACCGCTCGGTTCCATTTCCCCTCGGTCTCGGTGCGGTGAAAAAAAAAAGAAAGAAAAAAGCGAAGATTTTTAAAGCACTTAGCGGCGCATCCGCCGCGTGCTTCTCTTCGGGCGTGTGTTTGAATAAGTCGCGCTACACTTCGGAAGAGGAAGGGAGCGGCGCGAGAGCGCCCGTCTAGAAACGCAGAAAGCGAGAGGGAGAGACAACGAGGAGCGGATAGGAAGAGACGGCAACACGTGACGGGTACATTAATAGAACGGTTTGCACACACATGTCCCGCGGAATCTCGGGAATTTCTTCTACTGCCTAACAATGTGCCGGGGTTACGGATACGGTGGGATACGATAGAGCGCGGTTTGTTACGAAATTTCCGTGTAATCGCTCGCGCGCGCGCGCGCGCCTAATCTCAACGACGCTCCCGATCGATCTCTCGTTGAATGCCGGCGCGAATGCGATACGATTGTTGATTTATTTTATTCGTGACAATGGTTGGTAAATTTCCGTCGAGTACCGCGCGAATAACGAGAAGAAAGTGGTGGGAAGACACCGCGAATATTTTCCCGGTTAATCGCCGGCGCGCTGAGGCCCGCGCCGGTGTACTTAACGACACACTTTCGCAAATGAATGCGCGTTAACGGGTCTCGGGGCATTTCACCGCGTAACAAAGTAGCCACGATCGTACGGTACGGGTATAAATACGAGCGGCTCTATAATGACGTAGAGATATGCAAATGAGCGCACGTCTAATGTCAGCGGACGGTATTTAAACGAGTGTAAACCGCTCTCGCGCTCGCCGAGGCACGGGGGGAGGAGGGGGTATTTTCTCGCCCCGATCGTCCTACGAAAAATCGCTCTACCTTCGTCCTACCTCGCGACTTCGTAGTGATCCGTCTATCTCTAAGAATCGTCTAGCCGTCCTATGAAAAATGCAAATGAAAGAATACACAGGAAGCGACACGGTAGGAGCATGGCGGTGCCAGGGACCTTATTTTCTGCGTTTGGAAAGACTCCGTATTCTAGATAGTCCTCATTCGAGACGTTACCGGTGCATCGTGACATCATTGATAAGAGATAACAATGCAGCGTCGAACAACCGATGTCAACGAAACGCGTAACATCGTAGAGACACACGAATTCGCTTTTCCCGTTGGGTGAAACGTTCTGTGTAAATAACGATTCACTGACATTTTTATGTTACTTTAACAAGGTGAATATGTTAATTTAACATATATCTGTACGCTTTTTAACATACTCCCGTGTTAAGGGCGCGAGAATTTTAGCAGATTAATTACACCGAATTATTCACCGTGCATAATTATTCCCCGATGCGTGGAAAAATCCTCTTCGACAGGCTAAATCGTGAATTAAACGCTACTCTACCCGTCGAGAGTTCTCGAACGCAGCCTGGCAAAGTACGCACAAGGCACACCAGCTGGAACTTACCGGTCAGCTAAAACACACTTCGCTGCTGCGCTCGATTGTCCGTTATTGTCTCACCGTCACAGGATCCACCGTCGATTCGTGTCACGATCGAACAGCTCGCCGAGTATCGACGGGAATGCATAACTCTAACGCGGCACGAAGCGGCTCGCGTGATTAGCCATTGGTGATTAACAATTTCGCGGTTCGAGGATCAAAGGGTGAACGCGAACCTGCCCGCGGCGACCGTGCATAGCACACCTGTTCGCCGGTGGACGCGATCGGATCATAGAGATTGTCCGGGCGACGATCGGCCGCGACGAAGCGCGCGCGTCACGTGGAGGGTATCTCTCGTTTAAATTCGCAGCGCGAACCGCCGCGGCTCTCGGTCCCGGCGCGACTGTCTCGTCTCATTCTCTTCTGGCGGGTCGCGAGGCCCGGTTCCTTTATTGCTCTCTTAAGCCGCGTACACGCGGTACCCCGCTTCCGGTACAGATGTGCGCGCAGACGAAGGTCGAGATTCGAAACGGCCGATGTCCCGCCGAGTCACGGAGCAGCGCGACGCGCCGTCTTAGCGGCGGGATAAAATTGGAGCGGACGTCCGCGCCGTGTCGCGACGTCGAAGCGGTACGATCGATGTTTACGGGAAAACGCGGGAACCCCCCGTCGAATTCTCGATTAGCGACAATCGCGAAAGCCGAGCCCGTCGACGAATTAACGTACGCGTTTCGTGAAGGCACGTTAGCTTCCCAGACAACGTCGAAATTCGGGATATAAGACGGCTTTGAGGTATCTTTAAGACGTCTTGCGGCCCCATTTTAGACATTGTGCTGTCTGGCCTGAGGAACGACGAGCGTGACGAGCAATCCGACGATAAATACGCAGACTTTGAAGCTGCCTCAAGTCTAAATCTCAATTTACGATACATGTAGTAAACCTTTAGCTGTTTGTTCTAAACAATAAAATGTGACGTAATTTCTGGCAAAAAGCATTTCTCGTGTCTCTCGCGCTCTCAAAATAACTCATAATAACACTTGATTCTTGAGTATCGCGATGTTCGGTAACGCTGAAGACACTGTCTGCTAGAAATTACGTTAGAATTTAGCGCTTAGAACCGAAATCTAAAGGCTTACTATGTTTACGATAAATCTGGGCCGAAAAGTCTCTAAAGAAATTCTATTCCTTGAATTCCATATTTTCGTTTAATGCAGAACCACCGGCACGCAAGACGAAATGAACAACGTAATTTTTTGACACTTATTTCACGAGATTATCGGAAAAACCAGAGAAAACACGACGGACGAAGAGGAGTGCGTACCAATTTCCCCGAGAGTTTACTTCGGTCGTGTGTCAAATAATGTAGAGAGAACGCGTCGGTAAGAGTAACTGTAGCTACGCATGGAAAATACGGTTTTGTAGTCGCCGATGATTTAACAGCACGACGTTGTAATTACGTTCGGAGCGCAACCAAGAACGCTCAGCGCGGAACGGTACGAACATTTTCTACGTTTATCGACGAGCCTCGGTATTTACAACGGCGGATACAGTTCAGTCACTTGGAGGAGTCGCGTTAGCGGACCCGGGAATTTCTTCCTTTCCGACCTCTTCGACCTACTCACGAAGTCGTCTTGACGCTTCTGGACAACCACCGAAGAACCAGTTCACGGCTTTCAATAGGACAGGTTTCACTCGATCTGAATACATATATATATATATATATATATATACACACACACACACACAATGAGTTCATTAATTTAAATTTGGAGTCTCCCCAAAATTAATTTACATCTATTTGCTACGATAATGATTAGAATTAATCGTGATATCGTCTTAATAAATATCCTTAACATGTCCATATATCCAGACTTTGCGATTAAATAAGTCATTTGCCTGAACATTGCAGAAAATTACTTATATCCGAACGTAAAAAGATATACATGTGTGTGCGTTGAGAGAATATATTTTAAGATTAAAATATGCAGATTAAGGTTGACCATTTTCTTATTAATTTTAATAATTATCGCAGTAAGAGGATATTGTGAAACCCTTTCTCTTATTATCAAGCGAACCGCCTTTGAAGCCTCGCATGAGCGTTTATCTTGATGTTAATGCGATTAATACTTAAAGTGAACCGTAATGGTTCTCATTAGATTCTATCGCATTCAGTTGTTACGTACTCTTTATAATCGGTTCATCCTCGTAACCATCGTCGATTATACTCTCCATCTCATCGAAAAGCCGACGGTTTTCCCTCTCGATTCTGTCGCGTAAATCGCATTTTGCTACTGCTTCTCCTACGTAGCAATCTTCCGTAATTTTCAGCAATAAATTATCGTAATTAGTAACTTCTATTACTCGTACATGCGAAACGCGAAAATTACCGTGAGGAGAATGTGTTATCTTATTATCAGGAGCTATCATCATCGATAGACAATCGTTAACGCGAGTGCGATCTTGACGATGCTGCTCGGTGTTTTCATACGTCGGTTCTTGTCCGACATCATCTTTCTCATCAGTCACTGAAACTACGTTTGAATCTGTTTTCGTGCTCGAGGAAGATTCTCTCGTCTACAATGAAAAAATTTATATCCGCAATAAGTCGGAAAATATTACATACATGTGTGTTGTTATATAATCTAATCTCCATCGCTCTCTGTCACTACAGTTATTATAACGTCAGAAGCAATGATTACGAATTATATCCTCGCTGATCGATAACTTCTTGCATCCGACGTCATTAATACGCCTGCAATGACAGATCGCAGCAGCTTTAATAAAAGTTAATATTCATTAATATTCGCACAATATTTTTTGCAATATAATCTTTATGATCCCTGGCGGGTTCTCCTTGTCGCAAATCAATATCGTCTTTCATCTCATCCGCTATCATGTCGCATGCCGTGATTTTCGCTCTCGCATCCTGCGGAATTGATGAATTGTCGTTCGCGCATTCCTCATCGATTATCGTCATCTGTTGCGAACTCTCCCTGCAAATGTTAACACTATTTCCTCTCCGTAAAATTTGCGTAAATTACGTAAATCGCGAATAAAATTACTGAATTGCGTCTTTAAAGCGTTGTTTAGATATTAAACGAGTGCGAACGATCAAATGTGCCACATGACGGCGTTTCTCTCTCTCTCAATATACCTCATCAGATATATAATACTCAATAATGGATTGGAATATTTGATCCTGCCGAACTTAGCAATAACGTGTTTACCTAAGTCTTGGAATTGCTCGTACGTACAATGCTGACTGTATCAATGCACAGGATCTTAACGATATGTCCTTGGCGTCTGCATTTCGATGATGACGATGGTTATGATGGTGATGATGGTGGTGGTGACGGTGGTGATTATTGTACCGATGGTATTTCCCTTTGACACTGCGAATTGCATGGGGCTGCCTTCTACCTCGCTTTCTACAAGATTCTCGTATTTATCAAAATGTTCACTTCGAATTTATTAGAATTCAAAAACTTTAATTCTCGCCACGCTAACGTCCAATATAATGAAGCTGCGTTCCTTCGATACAGGCTTTCGCGAATTATCAGCCGAATTTGTAGGCACGAATCAAAAGCGCGAGCAGGTATTTATATGCAAAATATAATAACTGACCTCTTCGGTGTATCATCACCGTCGTCGATATCTGTTTTATTAACGTGTTTTTTTGGCTCACGATGACACCTCGTATCGTTCACATGTACTTTTCGGTACAGTTCTTGAATTGACTGTGTCTCAAGTTGATCATCTTGCTCGCCGATGTTCGCTTTATCAAACTTCTGTGTATTTTCGGCCATGTTAAGGACGAATTTCAATCCGTCTGCGACGAGATCTATCAAAGTGCAACACGTTCCACGAGCAACTAAGGGAACATTTACTTGTTTATAATTATAACATAACAAAAATGTGGTGGAACAATTTTAGTTATCTATTATAAATGTAAATCTAATAAAAGTTGAATATACACGTGTATATGTAATGTGTCTCAATTTTATCTACTTTTTACGGTTTTCATCAATGCAGATATAATCCATAAACATAAAATAAGATACTAAGATCTCGTATGTCATTAACTAGGAATTTTAATTGGAATAGTGTCGGGATATATTTTTGCGATTGACATCAAAGATATTCTCCTCGCGTCGAGACCTCGAAAGTATCTCGTAACGTAAATACACATTCTGCCGGAATTTTAGACACAAATACGTATTAGCACTTTGACATTATGTCACGAGCATTCGCGCTTAGAAAATATTCTCACGATTGCGTAAGCAGCTGAAGTGTATCGAGAAGGTAATCAAAAATTAGGACAGACGGCAGTAAAAAGATGAGTAAATAATAACTTTCTCCCTTTTTCTCTCTCTCCTTCTTTCTCCTTTCACCCGGCATTTTTTCACATTTTCGCTACTCACGTGAACGTGACTTGGGCACGTAATACAGAACGACGCCGCACAAGATTAACGCGATTAACGACAGACTCTTCAGGTGGGCGATCCATCCCAGCACACGGAATGCCCCGTCCAAATAACCTGACGAGCGAAGGAGGAAGTCATTTCGGCGACGAAAAGACACCGCTTTCTCTTACCGTGTCCGTTCCGCGATTTAAAAGACGCGTATTGCATAGCGAGCACGATGGCGACGAGCACTACGGATTTCATAGTAAACGGAGGATGCAATGAGCGTCTAGGTAATATTTATCATCGTTCAATCATTCATCGCGTTACGCCGGGAAAGCAGAAAAGAGAGGAGAATTGCGTGACATGCGCGTGCCGAAGCGAACGATTGTCACGGGAAAAGGGGCAATTTCACCTCGTTCCTCGCGCGTCTCCAATTACGCGCGCCACTAATTACGTCTTGATTAACGCTCGATGATCGCAACGACGGTTAGTACGACGCGCAAAATTGCGCCGATGGTTGCGCGGTGGTGAGGGTTTCCGATCGCATTCGACGTGTTCGCGGCCAATAAGTAACCGTGTAAGATCCATATCTTAATTTTTTATTATGCTCTGAATACTTTACAATATAATACAAAGGAAACGTGTCATGTGTATCGATCGCTTTTACTACGACCTAGAGTGGGGTGGGTTGCGCGCACATACGAGAAGGTGTTTCCGCACGAGTCTCGATAGCGATAGGGACAGCACAACGTGGGCGAAGCGTGGGGACTCGCACTATTCGCTAAACAGTGCCTCTCTAAAGCAACGTAGCTCCTCGTTACCGCCCGGAGAACTGCTCGGGAACTATGAATTTCCGAGGAGCCCGAAGGGGAGTTATACGGCGCCTATATACGGAGACTACCTAAGTAAGAACACAACTTAAGAATATTCTTTACGGAATACTGTTTACTTCTATACACGTTCAAATTCTAAATTAAGTGCGACGGGCCGATGAAGACACTCGTTGTAACTCGTGCGAGAATCGATGAATGTCTTCGTCGGCTAGTCCGGGAGGACTGCCCGACTCCGTACAGCCACGATATGTTGATTCACTTGTGACGAGAGGGAAATACTGTGTGTTCACGGCCGCGAACAACGAGTTCTATCGAACGATGAACAACGAGAAGTCGATCCCGCGAGTTCTACGAAGAGTTCAGTGACTACGGTAAAATCTATGGCGACGATCACCTCGCGATACAGCTTTGCTAAACGTGAACTGTACTACGATACATCGGGGCAGATGCCAGTGTTTGCTGGATTAAGCGAATCTATGCGTGATATGCTAATTGTAATAATACAATATCATGTGGAATAGAGAACAAAGTAATAATAATAATATAATTAATAATAGTAATGTGAAGATCGCACGGGTGTACGTGTAGTCATCAGCGAGAGAAAGAGAAACGAGAACGGTATGTTATCTTGTTTATACGAAGATCATTCTTCGCGTTTAATCTTCAGCGTCCGTTTAACACCTCGTGGAAACGTGCTCGAGAATATCGGGCTATCGTTAATTACTTCATCGACAGATGTCTAATTACACAACCGAAACAAACGATTATCTAGTTTATATGAAGATAATTTTTCATGATCACGGTCTTTAGCGTCCATTTAACACTTCATGAGAATGTGCTCGAAAGTAGACATCGTATCACGAATTACTTCAGCCACGGATGCCTGGTCGATACATCCGAAACGAACAATTATCTCGACGAACGTAAAAAAGATGACGGACACACGTGTACGCGTGCGACATGAATGGGACGACTTTATACATAGAGTGAGGGACGAGTTGATGCGCGCGCGACGAAGGTGACGATGAGATTACGTGCTCCACCGAAACCCGCAAGCCGAAGCTCTTCGACACAGTTGAACACACTTGAAACAAATATCTCTCGCGATCGTCTGTTTCTTAATTATTTTAAAGCCACTGATAAAGACGACAAGCTTTCGAAATGTGCCATTATTAACAGAGGCCTACTGTCCTACTGTAATTTCCAAGAGAAACGCGTTTTCGTTCATTATTGATCACCGTCTGGCAAACTCTCAAAAGTTATTGTCATCGAACAGTTCTAGGAAGATCGTTTAGTCTAAATCGGTCGATAGACGCGATCGGCCTCGGGGATCGGCGGCTCGCGGGAGGAATAACCGAATCGGTACAGCGAAGACGCGAGGGAGCTCTCGTTTTTACGCAAAGGATGCCTTGATTTTGCTGATGGCGTTTGTGAGGTGGGTCATCTCGGTGTTGAGCTGGGCCATCAAACCATCCAGCCTGTCGACGCTGTCGAGGACTTCGACGCGCTGCGTGTGCGGATTGAATCTGACCTCGAACGGCCGGCTCATGGTGGACACCTGCGGGAGAGACCAAGGATTTATCATTTTAGATTCACTCGCCGAGATGAAAACCTACGATCAGCGACAGGGGGCCGGCCAAATTTCTCAATCGCCACGTCTGATTTACACAGTGAATAGAGTCGTGGGGAGCTAAAATTGTCACAAATCGAGAGGAAGATCGAAAGAATAAAGGGTGCGATCTCCAACGAGTGCCCGTTGAGGGACGAAGAAACAATAGAGGGAATTGAAATTCTCGTTCCCTTACCCAGCGACGGAATTTCTCCTTTGCGTCCTCGAAGCTCTCGGCCACGTAATATATCGGCTGGTATTCCTGATCTTGGTACTTCTGGAGAGCGGTGCTCGGCGGATCGAAGGCTCGGAGCTCGCACTTATCGCTCAACGCGTGCAACAGCTCGCCGTAGGACGACAACAGGCCAGCACCGTAAGCCTTGACCTCGGAGCCGTCCTTGCAGAGACCGAATTCGACGGTGAACCAATAAATGGTCGACAGCTTCTCGATCTCCTCGTCCGAGGCACCGAGAGACGCCAGGCCGATCTCTTGCGAGAACTGCGCGAAGCTGGGATCGGCCAAGAGCGGCATGTGACCCAACAGCTCGTGGATGCAGTCCCTGCGAACAGAAAACGAAGCGCAACGATTCAATGATAACGTATCTCACGATCTGCCGATTTGCGTTTAAACTGGTCATTTATTAATTCCGAGCGCGCATATTCGCGCAATCCGGTCGTCACTATTCAACCGGTCGCGACGTTTTGATTTAATTTGCATCGACCGCGAGATTTTTACCGTTTAATTGAGCGAGGCGAAGCGTGGGCGTGCCAAAATAAATTACCACGTCGTGGGATAAACGGCGCGGATCGAATAGCAACTCGAGAAACCGCTCCGTTCTTGCCGGCCGACGGAGCTATCGGCGACAGAAATCGCACGCGGCTCGCTGCGCGGGAGAAATGAGTTCGCAACTGCGGAACTGAGTTATCAACGCCATCGCGTCGTTAAAAGCCAATTAGAGTTCCATTACGAGCTTAGAGAGGCGCGGTAATTCTATTATCATCGTTCTCTGTGTACCGGGGCGCAGACTCCCGTCATAACGCAATATCGATTGCCTCGCGCAGTTTGACGCGAAGAGACAGCAGTGACGCGGGTCTGAACGACCTTCCGCAATGCGCGATTTTTAAGACGCGTGTCCTGCTGCTTTGCGCGTTTACGGTTATCCGCCTCTGTTTATATCGAATTGTCAAATCGTCCAAATTTCTAACTGAGGCAATCCATAACATGACGTCTGCCACGGTTGCAGATTTAGTCCTCGGTCGACTTTAATCACGTTATTTTGGAGAATGACTGCTGTGCGGCGCGTTCATCGTGAATATTTTCCGTTGCTGTTGGCGAATGTCGCTTATCAGCCGACTTATAAAAAGATTCAAGACGAAACGTATACATCTGGTTCGAACGCCATTTCTTCTCGATTTAGACCTGAGAAATCTGAACGAAAGCAAAGGCTGTGGCAATTTCAAAACACTTACGGCTCGGGAGTATGGTAGGGGCTGTTGATGTGGCGGACGTATTGGGTGCTCTGGAATATCCTGAAGGCGAGGCTAGACAGGAAGTCCCGCGCCGTCAAGAGACCAGCGGCCGGCCGGAGGGTGAATCCCGTGTTCTTCTTCAGGAAATCGCTGACATCCTGCAACTGCGGGATACGGTGGGACTCGAAGATCCTCTCCTCCTGCAGCTTCTTGAAGACTCTCTGATACTCGACGCATGCGTGCTTCGGCACCAGGTCGAGCACGGTGTTGAAGACGCGCGACCAGGTCTCGTTCTCCGTCTCGGTGTAGGGGATGCTGGGTATCGGGTCGCCGTACTTGTAAGCGAAGGCGATCTCGGCGATGACCTTGCGCCGGGCGCGGTACTCCTTGTCGGCGAAGCCCGGATGATTCATGTCGAGGTCCGGCTCGAACTTGGTCATCAGGTGGTTGCAGTTGTCGAGGTCGGAGGCGTGACGGGGGAACCAGGGATCTTTGATGCTGACGGAGTTGTCGGCGAGCAGGGTCACGCCGTCCAAGGCCGAGCTCTGTCGCAGATTCCTAATCAGCTGCAACAGGCTCTGCCTGCTCATGTCGACCTTGACGAGCACCTCGAACTGCACACCCTCTTTCTTCGAAGGCCGCGACTCCACGTGAGTGACCGTGCCCTTGAAGTTCTCGATGGTCTTCAGGATCCTGCCCAAGGAGCCGATGCCCTCCCGCAATCGCAACACCAGCGCCGCCTTCTGAACGCTGTGCTCGCTCTCCGGTGACTCGGTTATGGTCTTCGCGAGCACCACCTCTTCCTCGGTTAGCCCGGCATCTGCAAAGAATTCATCCATCGTTCGATTTCGCAATCTTCCGGATGAAGTCGACGTATTCCAAATCTGTCCGATTGTTTTTGTCGAACAATAACAAATTTTGCCCGAGTTTTGGATGCCAAATAACACTAGCGCTCTTTTGCGCACGAGATACGCGATGTTTGGGGAAACAGGAATGCCTGGTCAACGCATGGATGTGTGTGTGTGTGTGTGTGTGTGTGTGTGCGTGAAAGAGAAAATATAAAAAAAAGGAAGACTCGTCCCGCGGCAATTTCTTCGGAACGATTTCCTCTTGGGCGCGACTTCTCTCGCGAGAAGTCTTAAGTGACTTCCGCGGCGATAATCGGGCAATTCAGAGTCCATTTCTGCGTTCCTCGCTACGCGTCGGGGAACGCGGAGTCTATTCGACCGCGGGGGCGGCGAAAGAACGGCAAAGTAGCCCCCATTGTCACGGGCGCGGACGTGCCGGCGAGAAGATGGAAGGGCATGGCGAAAAGGAATAACCGTGTTACCGCGCGTTTACCGCGCGACCTCTCGAGAAAAGCTCTCCTCCGGTAATACGATTCTAAATGCATAAAAGCGACTTCGAAGAGCGGAGCGTGGCTGGCTCGGAAAGAGACGTATAATTCACCCAAGTGTCGGCCGAGCACTCCGCGGCCTGCTCTCGCGCGCTGCACGCGCCCTCCACAATGGCGGCCGTTTCACCCTCCGTTTCACCCTCTCACCCTGTCCCTTCGCGTGCGTCACGCGCTTCGCCCTCCCCGCGGTAGCTCGCGCTCGGCTATTTCGCGCTCCACTTATGTCGAGCGCGTAAGCGACATTTCGCGAGATCTCGTAAACCAGGCGAATACCGTAAACGACCGATTACGCGAGCGAACGGGGGAGAGAGGGGGGGGGGGCGGATAGAAGGTACACTTACCGTCGTCGTAATCGTCATCCGGTTTCCCGTCACTGTCCGACGAGGCCTCAGCTTTCGCTTCTGCAAGTCACAAGTAGATTCGTGCTCATGCTACGTGCGACATTTACGGAGAGGGGGGGGG